AATGTATGTCTTTTGACACATAATATGTAGTTGATCAACCCGAGTTCTTTTCGTGCAGTAAAGTTTAAATGCTAATTTATTTGAGATATTATGTGTGTAATGATAAGTAGCGTAAACGAAGAAACGGCTGACTGTTTCCACAGGCTAGTATAATTTGGAATTGATAACTTTTTTAGAATCGTTGTGATTTGAAACTCTACGAAACGAAAAAGCGACTCTAAAAAAACATAAACATCTTTAGTAATCAGCCTACGAGATAACGAGATAGAATACAGTATGCAATGTTTTCTATTCTATGGTTAATATAATATTTAACTGTTAAAATAAACAGTTAAAATTAACAAATTTATTAAATAAACAAAATTAACCATATTGAATTAAGTTGTCATATCAATTCATTTATAACAATCCACGATTTCATAACTTACCGTTTTATATTAAATTAGTCGTGTTTAGGTCATCATTTGTTGTTTGATAAAATGACTTACTTACCTTTAGAATGAAGTAGATGGCTTTATTACAAAGCAATATAACACGCAACTAACAGGTACTTGTTAAGTTTAGTTTTCTGAAGGATTTACTTCTGTCTTCTGCACACATGTTTTTTTTTTTAATTATATGGCAAACGAGCACTCAGTTCATCTGATTCTGAGTGAAAGACATTTGTCTATATACATATACAGCATGCACTGAAGAAAATTTATCAATCTTTCATTAAGGATCAAAATCCATAATATATGTTATCACCCTGCAGACTAAGATAGATTACCTCATTACTACTAAAAAGCCTCCAGTCCATCACTCAACACGAACTGTAATTAATTTGATTTTAGATTTGAATAGATATTTATTTATTACAATAAAATGCTAGTAAGAAACCTATAAGGATGTTTTCCGTTTTATTAACTTCAAAGCAATTTGTCTTACATAATTGCAGTCTGTTAAAGCGGGATGTCTATTCAAGGAGCTTCTTATTTCTATAAAATGGAAAGATAATCTGGATAAATTAAACAATTCATTCAAACCCTGATTAGTATTAGAAATGATTCTCATTTTTTTAAGTTTTGTCTTTAACTATTTGATTGAATGATTAAATGACTAACACGTTATCCTGGGAAACGGTGCTATTAGAATTTTCTCGTGATTTTTTATTGTTAATTTAAATTTTAATAATTTCTTGTCCTGGTCTTTGTTAAATGAAGTGGATTGCTAAGTACTTATACACTTTGGCAAGCTCTCATGTAAGGGGTACCTAGAGCCTCTGCGGCTTCAGAGGAGGTTAAATTAAGTAAGTGGCGCAAATGTTAGTCTCTGAGAGATTACTACATATCCATGCTACATACATATTAGCTGTAGGAGAACTACAGGTCCGTGAGGTCAACGTGTAGTTTAGTTGCTAAAGTAACTGCTTCCGTGACTTGTTGTGGCTGCTGGTGATCCAGTCGCGGACCATAAGGATCGATAAGAAGCATCTTCTCATCGAAGAGGGCTGGTCCTTTCAATTAAACGCTGCGAGCGTTTTTGGTACTACACCGCGGAGAATAGGTCTATATGATATAATCTGAACAGAATAAATTAAGTGTTTTGGATTACGGTACGTTACGGTACGGTACAAGCTTAAATATGTAATTAATATTGTATATTATAATATTTTAAATATATAATCAATCAGAATATGAAATTATTTAAATCTTTACTAACTCAATACGCCAGTACAAAAATTATAAATATGTAATAAAAAATCAACTCCAGATTCTTGTTGGTGGACTGCATCGAGAGGGGTCTCCTCGCCTTCTAGCTATTACAGACGAATTGTAGTTGCGTGAGAATAGGAGTGTTGGTGTGGTGATGCACCAAACGCCCTCTTCTCTACCAGGGTCGCATCATTTATGTGGAAATTGTGGCTTGACTTGTGGATAGAGAGGAGTTTTGTTAATATGATGCACCGCTCTCAAAACCAACCCACGGGCAAAACGTTAGAGGTGAAGCTATGGAGTAGTTCCGCCGTTGTAGTTGACTTCCAAGTGCTTCCGTGCGTACAGTTTTTTAGCCCAATAGCCTCAACATAATCAAAATGGGAACGAAGGGCCGTTATGCAGGTGGAGATGAAGGATATGTATTAAGACGTTTTACGTGGTAGAGTCATGAGACATGAGAGCTTGCCAAAGTGCATAGGCACTCAGTAATCTACTTCATTTAACGACAACAAGAACAGGAATATTAAAAATTAAATTCACTATAAAATCACGAGAAAATTCAAATAAAATTACGAGAAAGCCTAGTATATGAAAAAATTCTAGATAAGAAATAGATTGATTTTTGGTGGAACACCATGAGGTTTTAGTCGGTGCAAGTCCAACATAACCCGTCCTTACCATGCGAGGTGGTTATGCTTAAGCATTTCCCCATGTAAATTAAGAATGGATGTCTTTAGGCCACAACATCCACTTAGCGACAGATGGACTGTGTCCTCGTTTGTTACACTTATTCTATAAAAAGGTACGCCTTATAATGAGAATAGGAGGGCTGCAGATGTGGGTAAAAGCATTCCACATCTCCCTATGAAAGAAAATTGATCCAAGTTGAATGATCCTTTCCTACTAACCATATAAAAATGCTAAAAAGTGCATAGCAAAATATTGAGAAATATATTGTCAGTAATTGCTTATTGACCCGTTGGGTTATGTCGACAAGTCGATTTTTCTGAATATATCTTCATTACGACATCTATCACGTATAATTTCTACAGAATACCTTCATTTATACAGCTCATAACAATATTTCACAACTATTGAAAAGTGAAAAGTAACTTTTTTTATGTATACAGATTATCCTATTTAAAGATTACTTTAAATAACAAATACTTTTATAATTGTATCTTCAGGTCGAAATGTTCAAAGTAACAAAGATAGCGACTAATCTCATCTCACGCTGGCTGAGCATGTAACGGAAAATTAATTTTCATAATTAATTTTTGAATTAGTTGCGGCAAAACGAATAAAAGACGATCGGAAGCAACAAATTTTTGCATAAAAACAGATTTCATCGCTTAAATTTGAAAACTTGAAATAAGATATTAACTTCAGTTTTCGTCGTTTATTGCAGGGTAAAAAATCGTCTGATTTTAAAATCATCCTTAACTTTCAGTATCTGTAACATATTGGTAAGAGAGCGAGGTGTAATTCTGTATATTCTTGCACAAAACAAATGTATTTGTCCTTATAAGTGGGATAATTTCGGAAATACTTCTCTAGATTGAGGCTGATTGGCGGAGAATCGAACCAGCTATTTAGTTTATTTAACCTGTGAATTCGAATTAAAGTGGCTAGATGGAGACTAGCACAGTGGAAAAATAGTAGGTTAAGTAGATAAGTTAAATATTTAGACAAGTGTTGTATATTATTAGTTATTAGTACGATCGCGGCCGGCACAGGAGTAGATAATTCCGTTTATCTACTCATGTGTCGCATGTGTGCAGCGTTTCAAAAAAAAAAGCGTTATACATACATACATACATATATATATATATATATATATATATATATATATATATATATATATATATATACGTAATTAACGCACACCCTCTGATACCCCAATTCATACAATATACAATATTATGTTATAATCATAATACATACACTGAATTTTTAGTTAAACATTTTTATGCACTGATTATTTATCAAATTAGTTAGTTATACTAATTCTGGAAGAATGTTGTTATATATATACAGAATGGGTCCCACATATATGCAATAAATGAAACCATATACTTGTTATCGCCTTTGCTGACGATATACAAAAAATGAACGTAATCGGTCCAGTAATTAGGTCAAAAAGTAGAGTTTTAATTTTAAGCAAATTTGAACTCTCTATAGAATTGGGTCACTAAGTCAATGATTCAATGAACTTGAATCCTTGAACATTAAAAAAGCGACGTTGCCACGCAGTGCAAATTATTGGTATTGCGACATATCGACAGCGGTGTCTTTTGTCAGCGTCCATAAACAAGCGGCACGCGGCGTACTTCAAAGGCAACAGCGCAAGTGCGCGCGCGCCTTTGTCGTAGAGTAGGACACCAGTTATCGACGATTAGCTTCTTTCAAAGGGAGTAATAATCGATAAACAAAAAAAAATGTTTAGCTTTAAACACTTAGGGTATGGTTTTTTTAGAATAATCGTGTTGTTATGATAATTCTAAAAACACTACGTCCTAAGTATTTAAAGCTAAACTTTAAAGCTTTTTTGTTTAAGTGTGTTCTTGTAGATTTAGAGATAATAAATTATTTTAACATGCTAAAAAACCCATAAAAACAACCAATTAAAAAGTCATACATACTTACCCGTTTCCCAGGAAGTTACAAATCGTTAGTTTCGTAAGTTTAATTGTATAAAAATAAACTTTTTTTTTAACAATCAATAACTTGTCGATTGTTATCAAATCAAAAATCAAAATTACTTGTATTCAAATGTAGTAGGTAAGTAAGTAAAAAGAAAAGTATCGATAAACGATAATTGCACCTTGTGGCCGCCCTATTTATTACTTTTATTATTTTCCCCATTTTGGAATTTGGAAATTCGGCTTCCAGTTCACGCGCAATTCTCTCAGAATACAGGTGTGTTTCGTTGCCTACACGCATCGCAATTATTTATCGCAAGATAATTATCGTAAGATAAATACAATTAGTCGAACAATTCTTTTATGGTGAAATAAACACTTACTAGTCGTTCACTTCAAGAATGCCGTTACCTCCCGCCGCGCCCCCTCATTCCGCGCCTCAAGCGTCGCCCTTTTAGTACCGATAGCAACGTCGAAGTGTACTTACGTCCGTTTTTTATGCTCCCGTACGTTTTCTAGTTTGTTACTGTTTTTGCTGTTGTTTTTGTTACTGTTGATTTTTTTGTTTTTGTTTCTGTTGATATTCGTTAATTTGTTCTATTACAATGAGTAAAGAGGAAAGGTCTTGCACAGTGGCGAACGCAATTTATTATATAAGATAATGACATTCTTTGAACAAGAAAAGTTTGAAAAGCAGTTGATAACGCCTTATGATATTCACGATGTCGTAGCTATGAAAAGTATTGCCAGATTAAAAAATGAAAACTCACGTGATACTTGTGGCAGCACACTGCTCACACAGCCCGATGCACCGTCGGGAATAGAAATTAAGTTGTTGGAAAATGAAAAGAAGTACCAGGTGCTATTAAAATCATTCGATAACGTTATCAAGAGAACTGCGGCCGCCACTGGTATGTGGCGGCTGAACGTACTTTAAGAAATATAAAGACTGAAGAAAAAAAATTAAAACGAGCTCACCTGAGCCCAGTACTTCTAGTACACAAGAAATAAAATTGACGTCACCGAGAAAAAAGAAAATAGCCACAAAGAGGTTGGAAATAGATGATTTCATGGTGTGTTCGATTCGAAACATAATTGACCGTTTCTACAGAGTTAAAAAGGAATTTCCTACGCTGCGCAAGATAATAGCAGAAGCAAAGAACGACTTCAATTTTCCTGGGCAAAAAGTCACTCTCTGGAAAATTATAAAAACGAATCTTGGATATAAGTTTACAAAATGTAAAAATATAAGACAATATCTTATTCAGAAACCGGAGATAGCAGCATGGAGAGCACGTTACTTGCGGAGATTACGTGAAAATGATGAACAGGGAGTCTATAAAAAAACCAGTCATATATTTGGATGAAACGTGGATACACAGCCACTATACCGTTTCAAAATGCTGGCAAAATGCAACTGATGCAAGTGTAAAAAAGAATTTCAATCCCGGACAACGTTGGATTGTGGTCCATGCTGGCAGCGAGAATGGTTTTGTCAAAGGTGCCGAACTCCTTTATAAATGCAAAAGCAGGGGACTACCATAATGAAATGGACGCAAACAATTTCAAAAAGTATATACAGGAAAAACTCCTACCCAACTTATATAAGCTATTAATAGTATCTCTGTAGAGGACTGGAAAAAAGAGGTAAACCACGTTGACCGTTTACGGCAACAATATTGGGAAAGCGATAGGTTGCAAGAACTCAACGAAAGAGAATTGATTATTTCGGTGGGCGGAGAGACTGATGACAGTGACACAGAATGGAGTGATGACAGTGACACAGAAACAAGCGATTTCGAAAATCTTTAATTTGATATATTTAAAATGTAAAATAAAACTATAAAAAAATATTTTATTTTATCGAACACGTTATTATTTCATCATCATCATCATTCAAAAAATATTTTATTTCATCGAACACGTTATTTTTTAACTTTATTGAAAATATGAATACTAAAAAACATAAACATGATGACTTTTTTCGTCTACGGTACCGTCAGCTGTGACGTCGTAACGGTCTACGACGGCAAACTCGAAATGAACGCGTAGTATTAGTTAATTGACTTTGTGTGTGTAAATAGTGTTTTTAAGTACGTTTATTTTTATTATTTTTTCACTGTGATATTGACACTACTTGACTTTTGTGTATACTTTTTGGCGGCGGAAAATGCCAAGACAACAGCATTTTTACAGTGCGGCAGAGTATACAGACATGGTTTTATTGTATGGCGAATGCCACCAAAATTCAGCGTTAACTCTGCGTACTTATAGTGAGAGATACGGCGCAACTCGCGTCTGCCCTACTAGCGTCCGGACAATCCTAGATGCTGTCCAAAGAATCAGGGAAAATCAGCGCATAGTGCCCAACACTCATGAAGGAGTTGCTCCGCGTCACTTTCCACCCTCGTTCGAACAACGAGTCTTAGACCATTTCGATCGGAATCCAACCTGCAGCCTTAGACAAGCTGGGCGTGTGTTTAGAGTGAGGCATAAAACAATACACCGAGTGCTGAAAAGGAACAAACTACGTCCTTATAAATATGTTAAGGTGCAGGTGCTGCTGCCCCGCGATAAGCCGATTAGAGAATCTTACTGCCACTGGGTACTGGAAGAAATGTCTCAAGACCAACGTATCCTAACAAATGTGTTTTGGACATATGAAAGCACGTTTACTCGAAACGGCATATGGAACCGACAATCCATGCGTTACTGGAACCATACGAATCCCCATTTATTTAGAGAATCAGCTCATCAATACCGATTTTCCATTAATGTTTGGGCAGGCATTCACGGAGATCAAATAATCGGCCCTATTTTTATTGACGGAAACCTGAATGCACAGAAATTTCACAATATTCTTAACGGCCCAATAACAGAATATTTAGAAGGATTATCTGTGGCAGCTTACCAAAGGGTATGGTTCCAGTTAGATGGAGCTCCTCCACACTCCGTACTCCTCGCGAGAAAGCGGCTTAACACCATGTTCGGCGAACAATGGATAGGGCGCTATGGCCCTCGCAGGTGGCCAGCTCGATCGCCCGACCTCACTCCTCTAGACTTCTTTTTATGGAGCGTTATTAAAAATGAAGTGTACTCAAAGATCTCCGAAACCGAAGATGAACTGCGCAATCGTATTGTTGCCGCCTTTAACAAATTAAAAGCCCTGGCTCTGGATACTGAACGAAATTTGTTGAGCAGGCTTCAGGACAACATTATGCGGCGATGTAACTTGCGCATTCAAGAACGTGGCGGACATTTTGAAAATTTTAAAATTTAGGGTTTCATTAAATTTTGCTACTAATATGCAATAATATTTATTTCGTTCAGTTCCATTTTCGCGAAATAAAAAAGTGGCGGTAAAATATCTAAACAGTTTAGTAAGTTTTTATTTCGTCGCACATTGTCCAACGAACCATAGGCCGTGCCGACAATCGCCATGCCACCCGCGTGCAACGTTGTCACTCTTTCAAGGGGTCAAGGTACGTTGTCTAAACAGAGTGTTCACTTTTACTGAATTTATTTTAATATTTATTTTGTTTGAAAATTTCACTTTTTTTATTTTACGGGTTTTAATTTAATATTTAATTTTTCTACACTTCTACGGACTAGTATTACTTGTGGTTTCATTTATTGCATATATGTGGGACCCCATTCTGTATATATATATATATATATATATATATATATATATATATATATATATATATATATATATATATATATATATATATATATATATATATATATATATATATATATATAGGTAGGTATAAGTATATATAACAGAACGCGAGTAACCCGGATTCGATCTCCGCCGGCATCAATGAAATATTTAATTGCAATTTTAAGTGCTAATTTACCACGTGCTCGGCGGTTAAGGAAAACATCATGAGGAAACCTGCATATCTGAAGAATAAGTAAAAAAATATTTCGAAGACATATGAAGTTTGCCAACACAAATTGGGACAGCGCGGCGGACACTTCCTTGCCCTAAAACCCTCTGACTGACTAATTAAATAAATTAACTCAATCCTTCTTACTTTTCTTTTATTATAAATTTCGAAATCCTTGAGGAAATTCCAGAATAGTTCTGGACCTGAAGTAGATTCAGCGTCATCACCAAAAACATATCGGGAGATCTCACACCGCTATCCAATGATGTTTCTGTTGAAGACTACCTTTGTTCTAAACTCCATTTACTATTACTTTCCTCTTCATTATTGAATTTCACATCTTGTTTTTTTTTTAATTTAATTCTTCATACGTCTATAGAACTAATAGGAATTATTTCTGGAAACCCCTCTATTTTTCAGAATCTTTCAACTATTTGCGACACCGATAATCTTGTCATTGGTGGTTCTGAGATAGGAAAATTAGGAATGGATCCAGAAAGAAAATTTCTTAAAAAGTTACCCCTACATTAAGATTTTCTCCTGTATCGTGGAGGCAGTTTACATACATAAATTTCGCAAAGACTAAAATACAAATCCAGAAAAATTATTTGTAGCCCTTTCAAATACTTGTTCAACGCCGCAACTCATTGCTAAGCCACTGCGCCACGGAGTGGTTGTGAGTTAACCAAAAGTTGATGAAAATGCGAAAATATAAGAGAATTTTAAAGCAATAATTGCAGATGTTAGGAGAAACTAAATCACAAAATGGTGAATGATGTTTGTCAACACATCATAGCGGCGACAAGGCCAGGCGTCTATGCAACTTCTATTGTCTTATTGTCACGATGTTACTTAACTGTGGAAACTTTATTGTTAAATATAAGATTAATATATGTTATGTATTAAACTAAAATTATGTATGTTTTCCTTGAATATAAAATAAATAAATAAATTAATTAATTAAATTCGAAGATACGATCGTTGTTGCCAGGGGACATGGTATCATACAAATCTCTCGATGCAGTTTCCGATGCCGACAAGGCGATGCCTATGAATTATGCTATTGAGTTTTTGAATTCATTGGATATGCCAGGCATGCCACCGCACCATTTATAATTGAAGGTTGGATCTCCTGTTATTTTGATTCGTAATTTGGACCCACCACGACTTTACAATGGCACATGGTTAGTCATTTTTTAATGAAAAATGTTATAGAAGCCAGGATTTTGTATGGCAAGTTCTGAAGCGAAAACGTATTGCTGCCACGAATCCCTATGAATCCTACAGATATTCCAATTGAATTCAATCGCATTCAATTCCCAATCAGATTGGTATCCGCAATGATGATCAAAAAGTCGCAAGGTCAAACGTTGTCTGTTTGTGGCTTAGATTTGGGTACACCATGCTTTTCTCACGGACAACTATATGTGGCATGTTTTTGCGTGGGAAAACAATCCAGTTTGTTTGTATTGGCTAAAGATGAACTGACAAAATATATTATACTCACCATTGCGCTGAGAGATTAAATAAAGATTAAAATAAATAAAAGGGGGCATGACAAAACTGTCGCGTCGCTGAAGCAACGCACCATGTGGTCTCGCGATCTTACTCTGTATTATTATATATTCTGATAAATCTAGTACAAATATTTGCTATAATAATATAATCTGATACATATAACGGATGCGGAAGAAGACTTTGATGAGTCGCAGCCTCGTATCTGTAGGTGATAGAACGACGACCTGGTAAGAGATAGTAATTCAATTGATGCAGAACCGTATTTGTGGGAGGTAAATTTTCAGCAGTGCACTCAGGTGTGCCATGTGTTCAGGCATGCCACTGGGAAGGCAAATGTTAAGCAGTGGACATATTATGAAAGGCTGCAATAATTCGCTCACAATCCATTGCTAGACACGGGTTGCAGTATTAGTTGGGAGGCTTCTTCGTGATCGCCATGCCTGCATTGTGGCTTAGCGATCGTAAAATCGGATATTTTAAATAATACTGTTACGAGCTTGAGGTTCGTGACAATAAAAGTTGA